GTGTATTACGTTCTGCGGGGGGGGGGGGGGGGGGGTCATTCCCTTGACTCATACTGATGAGAATTTGACTAGCATATCTGTTCCTCAGCACAGCACCGGAAACTGTTTATTGCAATGGTAGCATTCCTCAAGCATCTGCAAGCGATGCAAAATCATAAGTCATGGCTGTCTTGCTATAGAATGCGACTTTAATTGGATAAAAAGGTTGCTTGAGGATGTTAACTCACCGTTTGGGGAACAAGAACTCCTTGAAGAGAAGTCAGAAGGAGCCATAGGAATGGATATGGACAGCTGAGTAGTGGAGAAATTATTTTTGTTGGATCCCTCATCATCAAGATTGGACCATGATTCCTTAGTTGTAGGCCATTCGTCAAAGAAAGGGCGCATTGAACGTTGCTCCTGCTTTACTGTCCCGGGAGAGCCTATGTCACTGCTGAAAAAGCAATGTTGGTGTTGTCCCGAAATAGTTGTATCATTCATAGGCTCGAATGGATTAGGCATTCGGATATGTCGCGAGCTATCTAGCAACTGTGAATCATTTTTTGGTTTCACCATGGGGCTTGAGGGAAGTTGTGGAGGAGGCATCAGACACCACATGCTGTCTGTGTTAGATCCCATCCCTAAACTTCTCGTGCCTGCCGAAGCTTCGAGAGAGAAATTCTGCTCATCAGCATCAGCAGTCATTCCATGGAAATACCTGTGTTGCCAATTTGCATTTCATGAAACTGAATGTTACACAAGTGTAGCTCAATTTGCTATCTCAATAATTTAATATGTTTTACCAAATTCTTATTTTGTAAGTCATGTAGTCTAGTTTCAAGTTACACCACTTATTTCTCGGAAGACAGGAGGGCGTATTAGACAGATTCAACTGCAGCATCGCACTCAATAATAGTATGACATGAGTAGGATGAACCTACCTATGGTGCCAAACATTATACACCACAATATTTAAAGACCAAACAATGCCTTATTTTCTTATCTAAGAGAGGGTCTGAAAGGTCGAAGTTTCTTAAATGACAAAAGTTTGTTCTCAACTATCTTCTTACTACTTCATTAAGAATGCAAAATGAACTCCAAATAATCAGGCATGTCAAAAGAAAAGAGGCAGAAAAATTATAACACAGAAAAGTATGAACGACTCCTTGTAGTAGCATAACCAATTCTACCATGCAGAATACTTTAGGTGGAAGGCTCAGGTCATAATCACCTAAACAGAATATCACTTACTAGATCACTATAGTTAGAAATAAAAGATCACCGTGTATCTGAAACATAATCCAGAGTTAGAACGCCAAATTCTGTTTACCATTTGAAAGTTAAGCTTAACAGAGGGGGAAAAGGTGGATATAGTCCAACATGTCCTATTTAGAATCCTTCCGAATGTAAAAGATTTGAATGTAACATTTTTTTCTTTAATCGGCAACATAAAACACAGATCATAGAAGCAAGCCTTTTCACATGTAACCAGTATTGAACATCACTTGTGCAGTCAAAGACCAAATTCAATGCAGGAAGATCCTCTTAACTTGGTAAATGCCAACTACTTCAGATTTCTTTTAAGGTAACAAGTAATTAAAGATGACCATCAGAGAAAATGCATCTCAGGATAAGAGGAAACGTAGAGAACAAAGAATATTTACCCATACCCCTTGCTATCTACTGCATAGGTGGCAGGCTCCATCTGCATCTTTGTTGTGGCACTTCCATAACTTGGTCCTTCAGTATTAGCAGCAGAATATAGTGGCGTGTTCTGGAAGCTTTCACTGCTGCTACGTTGGAAATTGCCACTACTGCTACGTTGGAAGTTTCCACTTGTTTTGCTGCTCCCAGTAGTATTATGTGACATACTAGTCAACAAGGACTGGGCAGTCGATTGAGATTCCACATGCTTTCTTGAACGGTTGCGGCCTCGATGCATGTGCCGCTCGCAATACTTTGAGTCAGGATATGCATCTTTGGCGCACCTCCACTTCTTTCCATCTGTCCTTCTACACCTTCCTGGCTCAGGATCAAACTTCTTCCCATAATAGGAGCAATAACCCACTGACAGCACAAGATACAAACTAATAAGCTTCATATTTAGCAAACACAGTAGGGCTGCAACACCCCTCCCTCAGACCCCTTAAAAAAGAAGAGCATAGCACGAAAAGAGAACATTTTACTACATTTGATTGAGTTGTCCGCAGTCGGAACTCCAGCAGATACGAGTTTTACCAGAATAGAGATTGAAATTTATTCACTCCACAGACATTGAAATATAAATTACTTATAAATTATGGCATAAAACCAAAATAGACACCAGATAAGCCTCTACAAAAGCATTAACATGCCGCCTCTTACATTATTGTACGATAAAGAAGCGCAAAAGTATAGTCCAACACGTCATATATTTAGAATAAATTAGCAACCTACTCAAACCCAAAATCGGCTTATCCTGCAGTCCTACCAAACGAATAAAAGAAATAAATGTTTCCCCTACGATAACTAATTACAGAAATATGCTGAAATGAATGGATCAGCAGATCTTCAAACAAGGAAGTGGAATGAGATGAAACCAAAATGAATGGCTACCAATAAGAACTATCCTTACAGGGACAGAGCTAGCGGGGAAGAAGTGGTTCACAAGAAAATCACATTGTATATACAAAGTCAACTTTATATATATATATATATATAGTAGACAATGAACCCTTTGGCGAAAATCTTGCCTCCGCCAATGCTGCCTTAACAAAATATTGAGCCAAAAAGGAAACAATGACAAAAGAGTTATCTTTATGACTTTATCTACATGCTCCAATTTCATTATCAAACCACACTAAACTTCCATTTCAGAAATGCAGACATTTCCATCATACTACTTAACTGAAAGAAGCTAAAAGAAAGAACTATAATAAACAAACACGCTAACTTACAAAATGAATAGAGGAATGTCCTCGGTTAAAATGAGAAAAAAAACATATGATCTCTTCCTATTAGTCTAAACACTATGTTATAATCTAGTGAGAAGCAGATTTAGTTTATTTCAAACCCAGTATTTTTCTTTTGGATAACGATGGTGTCCGGGCCAACTTCCGCCCAACTTTCCAGCACAAGTACCGAATAACTCTGTCTATCAAGGTTTAATAGATAGAAAGAACCCAGTATCTTTTTAGACTAGAAGATGATATCTAGTGAAAAAAAACTCAAAATTTTCAATAAAGATAATATTTTTATCACATAACTTTAACAATACAATGAATCAAATGCTAAATTTTTTTAAAGATTACAACCCAACAAGCTTAAATCTGGATCCATCTTTGCATGCAAGCTGGTCAATACCAAAATTACTGGAAAAAAAATTGACAACCAGAAGAAACTAGAAAGAGATACATACAGCTAGGATGATGAAAGAACCTCGCTGAAATGGGTTCAAAGCTACGTCGTATAGGTACAACAAGGTCGGCCGGCACCGGAATACCCGCCACCAAATACTTATATATCATTGCTTGATGCTCCAATTCCTGCCACTGCACCGCCGTGAACGGCGGTCTGTACCCATTCTCCGCCGCCATACTCATCTCCCACCTAAAAAAGAACAAAAATCCCCAAATACCCACTTCACAATTCACCAAAAAAAGCTGTACCCAGAAATTATTATCACAACTGAAGTTAATATAAAGGTGTTTCAGACTTTCAGTGTGTGAGATATAGAGAGCAAAAGTTGTTGGAGTTACCTAATAGGGGGACAGATCTAGGGTTTTGGATAATTATCATTAAGGGGGTTGATTAAGTTTGATTTGTACCTCCATTAGCTTAAAAATGGAGATTTTTGAGGTTGATTTAGTAGAATTTTGGATGAGTTAATGGAGAGATTAAGCTAAAAGGAAGCATTGGGACATGGGAATAAAGTAGAGTGGGGTTGAAGGAGAAAGAGATGATAATATGGGGGACCTTAAGGAGTGGGGAGGGGTAAATTATGTCTTGTTGTGGTCCATGGTTCAATGATGTAACATTTTCAAATTTCGTATGACGGTGATGTTCGAGTCAGTTTGAGTATATCTCGATTAGTTATATGGAATATTTGGTATTTTTTTATCAGGTTAGTTTATATGTATCTCTCGATTGATTTCACGTACTAATTGGTTACGTCACATCAACATATATATTGAGTAAAGGGGCTTTCTTGATCATGTGTTTTTCGGTGATGTTCAAGTCAATTCGTGTATGTATCTCGACTAGTACCTCTCATGGGGTTTAGCTTGTTTGTATTGATCTCAACTGATTTCCATAGTGTAGTTAGTTACCTCTCATTAACACATATACTGAGTAAGGAGGTTTTCTTAATCAAATGCTTCTCGCTTGCATAATTGTCAGACAAGGTGATTCGTCTCCTTATATAGAATGCAGGTTTTCATATCCAATGAAATTAGTATGATAGACAGTTAGTGGGACATAAGTAACAAGTTTGTCAGTTCTTTCCTTGATGTTTTCCGCTCTGTTCAGCAAGGATGCAAATCGACTCCTTATATAGAGTGCAGTTCGACATATTCAATGAAGCTAGTACGATAGACAACTAGCAAGTCATAAGTAACAACTTCGTCTCGTCAATCCTTCTTTTAGTGCTTTCAGCTCTATCTAGCACGGTTTAAACTTAATGGAAATAAATCCAAATATTTCGTCAATTGAAGTATCGATATGAGATTTCATGATTTTTTATCTCTTTTATATTACACTATTAAATATTATAATACTATATGAATATAATATAATATAAAATTAATATTTTATAACTTGGTATGATAAAGTAGATTATCTTATTTTATAGTTATTGGTCTCACTTTTTATTAAAAAATTATATGTAATTAGTTTTTAGGTGAGTTAATAGTTTTTAAAAAATGTAGATGGTAGTAATGTATATGAATCATGACACACAAGATGCAAACTTTATCTTTAAGGTTCAATCAATAATTATTGAGGAGGATGACTAAAAAAGACCTAGTTGTAGCAATTTTATTTTTTTTTAACTTCGAATTTTGTTTGAGTGAATTGGGAAATGTCTTGTAATTGAAGTCTTGAAATTTTGGGACCAAAGTTATTTTCACATTTAAGTTTCATCCATGTGCAATTTTATGAACTTTACTTTAGTTGTTTGTTACCATTGTGTCATATTACCTTTTTTATTCTTCAAGAAAGGTATATTGTTACTAATATGAGAATGATAGAATTATTTTAATTATATATATATATATATATATATATATAAATGAAAATTACAATTACAATTCATTTTTTAAACTTTTCAATTCCTATTATCACAATTATCACTATTATAATTGTTCGCAAAAATACTTCTAACATCAAAATTTAACATGAAAATAACTAATCGATAAAAAACAATAAAAAGATAAATCTAACCACCCAAATTAACAAGATTCAATTGGATTTTCAAGCTTTCTCAACATTTTAGGAGTTAATAACTTTGATGGTCACTCAACTATCACCTTTTTTCACAGAAAGTCACTCAACTTTCATTTTCAACTTAAAAGTCACTCAACTATAACTTTTTTGCACAGAAAGTCACTCAACCTATTTAATTATTTTTTTCACTAAAATTTGCTGACATGGATTTTTTATTTTAATCAAAATTTTAAGAACCAAATATATATTCATTTAAATCATTTAATGACCCGCCACATTTAATCAGACCCGCTAAAAATATAATATTGAACCTTTTATTTTACCACTAATTCCCTAAATTTTTATTTAAAAAAAAAAAAAAAGTTAATCAATCAATACAACTGGAACAATCTTACCTAACAGGCAACACATTACATTATTTTAAATTTGTGCAACTTAATTTAATGTCACAAACTCATGTATCAGTAGTAAATTAATAACTATAGAATTATGGTTGATATATATATTTTTTTTGGTTAAATGTCGTTATATTTTAATGGTAAAATAAAAAGTTCAATATTATATTTTTAGCGGGTCGGGTTAAATGGGGCGGGTCATTAAATGATTTAAATGGATATATATTTGGTTCTTAAAATTTTGGTTAAAATAAAAATTCCATGTCAGTAAATTTTAGTGAAAAAAATAATTAAATAAGTTGAGTGACTTTCTATGCAAAGAAGTCATAGTTGAGTGACTTTTAAATTGAAAATGAAAGTTGAGTGACTTTCTGTGAAAAGACTTGATAGTTGAGTGACCATCAAAGTTATTAACTCAACATTTTAGTAATAGTGTTTTAGATTTTGTCACCTAATTTTTTTTTTAAAGTGTTAACTTTTAAATCTAACACAAATAAATAATTTTTACAATATTTGAACAGCATACACTTACTTTTCAGATTTAAGTTTTGTATCTTTCGAAGAAAAAGAGTAAAATTTGAGAAAGAAGATCATATGATGTACATCAATTATACTCAAAATATTTGACGAATAAATAATTTTTCATATTCAGAAGATATTCCTAAGGTACCTTTTTTCTACTTCCATTTTTTTTATTCTAATTCTTTTAAATTATTCACTTACATTTTTTTTCTACTTTTAAGATTCGCTTGAGCTGTATAAGGAGAATCCACATATGTGATTCTAGGGGAGAGCTAGTATCACTTCCTAATTCAGACTTTCAAAGCTATCTAGTTAGCCCATGGATTGAATTGATCATTCATGGAATCATGTGGGATCACTAGGGTATATAGTCATAGTAATCGATCTAGAATGCTTCATTAATGAAATACTAATTTCAATCAATAGAGAATTATTTTATTTAAGTTTATAAAGTATTTAAAGAAGCACATATATTTTTCAAAGAGTCGTCAGCAAGATTCATATGTGTGCCACATATAGGATCTAAAGATTGAGGTCACTTCTCATTGAATCCTTATACGAGTATTATTTCAACAATCCATCAAACCAAACAAACACTAAAAGGAAACCAACATAAGTTGTGATCAGGGGCGTATCTATGTAGATTTGAGGGGGTGCCACGTCTTCAGTGATCAAATGTATAAATATTAAGCGTGACACCCTTAGAAATAATAAGCCTTGTGGTGCTAATGATTAAAGCTCATATTTACCACCTTAGAGATGCAAGCTCGAGCCTTGGAGTGTGGTACCCGAATATTCAAAATTTTAGATTCCTCTATATTTAGTCAAAGATTCTGAATTTGAAGTTTTGAGAATAAAGAATTCAATTTTGAATTTGAACTTTTGAGAATGAATAGAATTCTGCTAGAGCATCATCTTCAAAAATACGTGAATTTAAATTTAATCCGAGACACTGAATGAAGAAACCACGTGTCAATCAAACATGCATAGATGCGATGGCGATCACGTCAAGTTAAATGCCAAAAACATTTTTCTCCATTTTTCATTTCCTTTTATTTAGTAGAAAGTCAGTGGGAGACAGCTTTTTTTCGATTTTTTCCATGTAGTAAAACTAAAAATAATCATCATAACCAGAAAAAAAAAGTTTATTCCTTAATCAGATATCTCGAATGCGAATCTTAAATATAGAAAAATTCTTATTAAGTAGTGCTTTCTCCCGAATAAGGTCTTATGCAGAGCGAATTTAAAATACTCATACTTTAATATGAATACTAAACACCGTATGAGAACCCAAAATAATTACTGAACAACTTAAAAAAATAGAAAATTAAATTGCCTGCCCGTAAAAAATTATAAAATAAACCTCTCAAATCTGGGCAGCTTCTTTTTCGCTGCCCCTTTTTTTCTCCACTATCTTTCTCTTTTGCCACCATTTCTCTCTTCTCATTGGAAAAAAATAAAAAATAAAAAAATTCAATCGAAAAAGCATTTTCTAGAAATCCATTTCCATATATATAAATTTTTAAAAAATGAGTCTATTTGGTCTTGGAAGGTAAAATTAATCATCTGTTTTTCCTTTTTTTTTTTTTTTTTGATGCATGATATCTGGATCATTTTTTTTTCTGAATTTATGATTTTTGTTGTTGTTGTTGTTTCATTGATGTTTTATTGGTTGTAGAATTTTAGGTTTGTTTATTTTCTCCTTGAATGAGTTTTTATAAGATTTTAAATTCATTCACTATATTTGTATGTGCATTACATGAGATTGAAATTTGTTAGGAGCTAAATTTGTTAGGTTTACAACTTTTACATGTGGGATTGAGGATACTTTACATGTATATATTTAGAGGCGGATTCAGGATTTGAGGTTTATGGATTCGTACGAATTATTACTCAAGTTAATATATAATATTAACTGGTTTCACAATCAACAACAACATATCTAGTGCAATCCCACTTGGGTCTGGGAGGGTAAAGTGTACGCAGAGTGTTTTTGATAGACCCTTAGCTTATAGAAATACAGACAAACGTAGTACTATAGAGAGAGATATACGGAAATGGAGAAAGTCCGGGCAAAATACTATAGATAACCAATCAAATCATCCTAAACAATAGTCTGTGACTGTGAAACCAGTTACTATAGGGGTCGTTTGGTTCGTGGACTAAGTTATCCCGTGATTATAATCCTCGGACTAATTTAATAACACCAAGTTTGATGGGGTAAGGTGGGATATCTAAGATTAAGTTTGTGATTAAATTTATACTTTGTTTGGTTGAAGGTCATGGGATATCCACCTTATCCCATGAACTAAATAACCCCTTAGTGGTCGTTTGGTAGTTGGTTAGGAGGTAAGTTATTTATGTATCAAATCATGCATAAGTAATACCATGTTTGGTAGCAGTCTTTTACGATGTATAAAAATAATACGTTGTTTGGTTTGCAATTTAGAAGCCTGTATAACTAATACATGTATAAGTTATGAGAAAATCTATGGATTATTTATGCAAGATAGAAGATGGAATAACAAATAGTACATGAATAACTACATAACTAATCCTTGCATGATTCTAACCAGGTATCAAAGGTACTTGGTTCATGTGAACTTGAAACTCATAGGCTAGCTCCGCCGCTGACGTATATTACCATTATGTTGTTGTTGGTTTCACTTGTTTTGGGATAGAAATCTAGGATATTTAGTTATTACTATTTCAAGATCAAATATTTGATCTAGTGTTGTATTCAGTGAATAGTCGCCTACCCTTTTTTTCTTTTAATTGGAGATGAACTTGCCAAAACGGAAGGATAGCTTGCATACATTTGTCTACTGTAGAGATTGTTTGTACTTTGTAGAAGGATCAAACTTTACCACATAGTTTTTATTTGAAGAGATCAAACTGGAGGTTTGTGTATAAGAAGAAAGAATTATGCTTCATAACTTATCTCCTTTTTTGAACCATAGAAAGTTTCACATGTCACGGAAAATGTGGCCAAAGTCTTCTGTATCTCTTTATCTCTATGTGTCCTCCCGGTTTTGTTCTAATGCCCAACTTGGTTTTGTTGTAACGCCCAACTTACTCGATAATTGTAATCACCGTGTGAATATAAAAGGGTAAGACATTACCTTAGCAAGTTTGCGTTTCTAAGGCTTTAGCTCAATGAAGATAATGCTATTTCTGCTATTCATATCTCACATATAAATTATATCTTTTAACAGGTGACTATCACATTAATTCTCAAGTTTACTAGTTCCATTTAACCTTCTTGTAGAATATTGCATACTTTGCATTATGTTTCTTGTCATTATTTTAGCTTTATTTTAAAGGTGTGCTTTGCTATCCTATTTGGCAGATTGGTACATAGCATTATTCATCTGATGCCTTATTTGTTATTGGTTTATAGGAATCAGAGAACATTCCGTCCCAAAAAGAGTGCACCCTCAGGGAGTAAGGTTATGCTCTTTCCTTGTTTAAGAAGAAATGTTGCTGTTTACTCGACTTGGTTTTTTGGTAGTTACTTTTTGTCTGTTAAGTGTTTGGCTGCACGTGCTGATGTTGATACCACCAATTTCTATAACTTGTTCAAACAAAAGACATCTTCAAGAAATCAAGTTTAAAAGGACACTAGATTTTTTGTAATCCTCAAAACATGCTTCGATTTCTACTTGATTATTTTTCTTGTGCTAATTATAAGCTTTTAAGTAGTTGAATTTCGAAACGAAAAAAAACTATGTTTTTAGTTGCATATTTGTATGCTTGTTGTTATGATTTTATCGGACATGGTATACCCTACACTAAACCTCAGGGTCATTGGTGATTTTTCACATCTGCACCGTTGGTGACTGATCTCAAACTCATTGTAGGAGATGGAGTGCCTTTTTTCACTGGACTATCCTTCCCTTGTTATGCATGCTATTATGTGTTCAACAAGTTTATAGCTAAGTTGACTTGCTTTCTAATTTGCAAGTATTATTATGCAACAAGTTTGCATCTATGACACAAAAATTGTCAGGATAAGAACGAATTAATGAATTCAAATGATTTGACATATAATTGTTTGGAGCTTTTGGAAGCTCATCCAACTTCAAATTTTGGCATGTTTAAAGTTGATATAGTTGGCTAGTTCTAAATCTAAAGTATCTCATGCTAAGAGTTTAGATCCTTGATGGTGAAAATTTTCATTTTCCTTTTAGTCTTCTTGCTTGTTATTCATTCTTCCCTTGTGTCTTTATTTTGATTTGCAAGTTGATCTAAACCATTGAATTATGAGTAGAAAAGTGTAGTATTTTTTGTCCTGAACGGGTCAACTTTCTTGCTTTGCTCATCGTTTTCTTTGTTGCAGGGCGCACAATTAAGACAGCACATTGATTCTACATTAGGCAGTGGAAATTTGAGAGAGGCTGTAAGGCTTCCTCCTGGGGAAGATATTAATGAATGGCTAGCTGTCAACAGTACATCCCCTTTCTCCCTTTTTCCTCTTGTTTACTCATACATAATGACGGGCATCCATCGGCACGTTAATATTACCTATATTTCTGCTGTTGATATGATTGGAATGTGATTGCCCGACTCGGTATCTTAATTGAATTGCAGAGTAAAACTTTCACGCACTCTTGGTCTCCAAAGTCTCGACTTCTGGAACCAGAACTTCAGTCTATCCTCCCCTTTCCTCGTTGGGCTATAAGGAAGTAGGAAAAAAAGAACAGAGACCATCTACTTTATTTCTTTGAGTTGTCCTAAAACTATGTTCATTTTTTGGAAATGATATTTTTGCTTGCTATATATTATTATACCTTTTCAGTATACAAATCCTAAAGAGGTGTCATGTAACCTACTTTTGTACTAGTAAAACTTCACATTCACCAAAACATTAACTCTATCTCTATCGTAGACCTAATTTTAATGTAGATACTATAAAAACATGATTAAACTTTGGTTCATTCTCAAACAAAAGAAGTGTTATTGAACTCTGGTCTTAACCTTAAAGGCTTTAAGCAATGCCTAAGGCCTATTGAAGGACTGTGTAGATCCTATCTGAGTATCATGAATGAAGTCCTTAGTAATGCTTAACCGTGCCAAGACCACTTCTTTGATACCAAGTAATTGCAGGTCCTTTGAAACCACTTCCTTCGATGTATTTTAGGTCTTCCCGTCCTCTTTTAAATCCTTCACTTACCATAGTTTCACACCTACGGACCGGTGCATCTATAGGTTGACGTAGAACATGTCCAAACCATATCAAGCAACCTCTTCGCCTTTGATCCTAAATTTGTGCTACTTGCATCTCCGACGAATGTGATCATTTCTAATCTTATTTAATCTGGTATGACCACACATCCATCTTAACATCCGCATCTCCACAACACTCATCTTGTGGATAAGGCAATATTTTCACACATTACCAATATTTGCTGGTGGAATGTACCATATTCAGCATGTGTAGCTACGACGATGCTTATTATGTGACTCTCCGTTTGAAGCCAATGCTGCATATGTTACATTCTGTTTGCTTACTTGTTGCTGTAAGCTGATCAAGTTTAATTTAATGGTGGTTGTTTATTCTTTAATATGCAGCTGTAGATTTCTTCAACCAGGTGAATCTGCTTTATGGCACCCTCACTGAGTTCTGTACGCCAGAAAACTGCCCGACAATGACTGCAGGCCCCAAGTATGTTTTATAAATAAGTTGTTTCAAGATTAATTCTATTATATACATTCACTAAAGTTGTCCTTGGTTATGGGAGTTGATTCTTGCAAATAGCTTAAGGACCATCTTCGAATTTTACTGTCCAAGAGTGGAATTTGTGTGGCTTTCAATCACAGGGATATGGAAAAACTCAGCAGTTTCCTATGTTCCAAATTACCTGCCGATAATCACTAGTTATAAGGGGGTGCTTGATTCTTGCCTAAGCTATTATTAGAAATTAATCTAAACAGTCTTCTTACGTGACATGACATTAAATCATTTGGTCTAGGATTTCACAGACATGTAATACTCATCCCAGGATATAATAACTTGAACAATTTGAGAACTTCAAGGAGGTTAAGATGGTGATCTTGAAAGAAAAATCATGAACATTGCTGTAGCGCGTTCCAAGTGTGCAGCAATCTTGAGAAAGATGTCTTGATGCAGCTTTGACCAAAATAAAAATAAAAGTAAAGATAAAGGATTTACATGATTAATGTCCAAAATAATTAGAAGTGACAATATGTTCCCTTCATTTTGCGATTTAACTCCAAAAAGACCCAAGTATATATGAGAAAACGTTAACATCTAATGAGGCTACTATGAAATATTTACTCATGGGTGGGGCAAGCTCTTTTATTCTGGTTCATGGTTTCTCTTGGCTATATCACTAGGATTAGGCTAGGTGGAAATTTAATCCGGAGTATTCTTCAACGGGCTACACCATTCTTAGCTTCTTCATACATTGTGTTTCAGGTATGAGTATAGGTGGGCTGATGGTGTACAAATCAAGAAGCCTATTGAAGTTTCTGCTCCGAAATATGTTGAATATTTGATGGATTGGATTGAAACTCAATTGGATGATGAATCTTTATTTCCTCAAAGGCTTGGTAAGTACTAATTACGCAGCTTCCAGACTCATGTTTTAATGTCATTTTGGAGATGTAAACCATACTCCTCTGTCCCAACTCATATGACATACTTTTTCATTTTGGAATGTCGAATTTTTTTTTGGATTCTTCTAAGTCCTCAGTATTCTAGTTACGATCTTAAGTTTGAAAATGTCCTGTTTCTTTCAACAATTTGATTTGGACTGCATAACCTTCTTCCTAGTATGCAAGTCATATTAACTTCTTGTCTCTATATAAAAATGGAGGGAGGGAGTAATCTTGAGTGAAGTGAAAACTTACCTCTTGGGAGCCAAGCTGGCGGATGTGTAAGATTAGGTGGCTTTGAGTTGGATGGGGAATTCTAGCTAACTAAAATCAACTGCTTTCGTTGTTCAGACAATACTATGTTACCTTTTCTCATTGTCAACTGGGCTATGTTTTTGTAGGTGCACCTTTTCCACCTAACTTCAAGGATGTTGTCAAGACGATATTCAAACGTCTCTTTCGTGTATATGCACATATTTATCACTCCCATTTTCAGAAGATTGTGAGTCTTAAGGAGGAAGCACATTTGAATACGTGCTTCAAGCATTTCATACTCTTCACCCATGTAAGTCCGTCTAAATCGTTGATCCTGAATGGACTTCCTTTATTGTTTGTGCATGTTACTGGATTTTCTTTCTTCCTAAGTCTTAGACATGGTCATTGCATATGTCTACGGTCTATCGGTTAAATTTGGGGGTAGCGGAAAGGGGAAATGGTAGATGCCACAAGGTAGGAAATCCGAACCCTCACCAACAAGGTGAAAGTTCAGGTAGCCAACTAATTGAGCTACTAAGATTCCCGTTGCTTTGAAATTGTTGATTATGTCAAGAACTTCATTATGCAGCATAATTTGTTCTTATGGTTTTCATTGATCCTTTATCTATAGAATTTATGATGTTAATTCTTATAATATAATGTTTATTTTGTAGGAATTTGGGTTGATTGACAAAAAGGAGCTGGCTCCACTCCAAGATCTCATAGATTCTATTATTGTGCCTTACTAAACATCTTCTTTCAGTTTGATGTTAACCTATTTTAATAGGGAATTAATGAGTATGATGTGATAATAATGTATTTTAGACTTCTATATGTATGTAGCCTAAAGTGACATTTTAAAATCATTATTGATATTGTGCATGTATTGTTTCATGTTTGTAATTATCGGAAATAATCTCCCTACCTTCTCAAGGTAGGAGTTAAGGTTGCGTACACACCTTTTTCATATCTCACTTATGGGATTACAATGGATATGTATCTTTGCAAAAATAAATAAATATTGTCACTCCTTATTTCCTAATCATATCTATAGGTTTGGCTATTTGATAGTTTTTACCCTCTGCTTAGCTAACGCATGAAACACTAAGTCTGGAGAGTATAGTTGCAAGATTGAAACTCAAAGGAATTGACAAGGACGGATCTCACTTTATGAAGGTAAGAGTCTAGGAGCTCTACAATTAGTAAACTCGAAGCTAACTGTATTGTAATATAGGTATCATACATCAAATTATATTCAAATTTAATTAGACTATAATGTAAGTATCAAACATCAATAAAAAGGAAAAACTTAATATCTAGTCTTAGGAGGTTCATTTAATTCACAAAAAAAGGTGTTAGACACCATCAAAATTCAAATTGAATTGTGATGTCTCATAAAGCAACACAATAAAGTGTAATTATTACAAACATAATAGAGTAGTTTGCAACTTTGAAGTATCAAACAATAACTATCAATAAAAGGGACCATAAAAGTTCTATTTATATAACATGAAGAAAGGGAATCACAATTCACAATAGAAGTTTAAAAAAAAAAAAGGAATTTATTTAATTTAAAATTAATAATAAAAAATGTATTTAAACTTTCTCCTTTTTTGAACTTTTGTGTATCAACTATCTATTATTTCATTTATGTATCTAAATTATTATTCTTTTTATATTAAAATATGCCTCGATACTAAATTGACCTTACATGCATCTATTATTAATTGAGAAAGAATATGGTCAATTGAACATTGACTGTTTAATGTATGTGCCTTGATTCAAAAAATGATATTTCAAATCAACTATCCTTTACTCTAAATTTGAATATAAAATCTATAATTTTTTAAAATAAAAATTTATATATTTAAAAATCACGAGTATTATAAAAACCATTCAAAATATTTTTAGAATTTTTAAAAAAAAATTATAATCAATGGAGTACTCTCTATATTTCATTTCACTTCCCCCTTTTATTAAAAATAAATGTTTCAATCAGTTATTTATTTTAGCAAATCAAGAAAATTTTATCACTAAAAAAGGAAAAGGGATTTATTACTTTTTCTTATACTATCCTTAGTGTTAAATAATTATATAAAATAACAATAATTAAATTTAGAATCCAAACAATATTAATAAAATTAATTTAACAAAACACTTTTTAAATTAATTTATTTTTAAAATGTACTACTCATATTACCATAATCCAAATAATATGAAACAAAGTTACTTCATATAAAATTTATAATTATAAACTCCGTGTTAAGTCAAATTTTTGCACCAGTCCCTAACAGAAGAAGGTGTGCGCGCATATTTTGACTATATACGTATTAACGCCACCAAATTTTTTTCCTTAGCTCCTTTTTTTCTGCTCAATTTTTTCAGAATTGTGCAGAGGAAGATTCGAATTTCATTGATTCATAGTCTTTTTGGCTGCGATCATCTTTTTGGGATTCAAAATCAACTTTTTTGTTGAATTTTTTTCATTTTTGGTTGAGTAATTGTTTGCAAAAAATCACAGCTTTCGCCGTCAGTGAAGAACTTTTTCAAATTTGAATTTTGAATTTGGGTTTTGCTGATTAGTTGAAAAGATCTGATTTTTTGAAGATGGATAGAGTTGCATAGTGTTCATCGAACTAGCGGAAGTGAGGATTCAAACTCTAAGCTTCCGGATTTTTGGCAATTTTTTTGAGTTTTTTTTTTTAGGGATTTATTGTATATAGTTGTTGATTGTGGGGATCAGAGAAAAGGAGTTGGAAAAAGTTTGATTTTTGAAGTGAAAATGTCAAAAGTGGTGTATGATGGATGGATGGTTAGGTATGGGCGGAGGAAGATTGGCAGATCCTATATTCACATGCGGTATTTTGTTCTCGAGACGCGATTGTTGGCTTACTACAAGAGAAAGCCTCAGGATAATGTGGTTAGTTTCATGAATTTGAATAATTTGTTTGAAGTTTTAAGGCTACTATATAGTAACATTGTAATTTGCAAGTCTTATATTCACTAGGAAGAGTATTATTATTGCTCTTTTTGTTTCAATTTAAAAATAAGCTAGATTAAATTTTATGGTCTTAAACTAAATATGTTTGTAATGTATCAAAATCAAAATGCCTTTTTGATCTTGTGATCACATGCTATGTAGGATGTCAGAGTTGGATAGTTACAAAATATATAAAGAGGCATACTTTTTGAAACAAACTGAAAAGGAAAGTAGAACTTTTAATTTGAAACGGATGGAGTATACCTTTTCTTATTGAGATTTGAATGTCACTAGCAAATTTAGAGAACTTAGTGTTAGAGAACTTCAAACTACTGAATATCGGATAAAAGGAGCCCAAATGGAATGAAATGTACAGTGAGAATTCATATTATCGAATCCGAACTAGCTTGGAATTGAACCTTGTGACTTTGAGCTCAATTTACTTGACCTTTTGATTTGATAGAGAATAATTTCTTGATTGAAGTCTTACATAAATGATGCTTTTTTCAGGATATCATCTTTGCTTAGTGTAGGATGTTGAAATGTGAGTCAAGGAACTTCAATTGGATAGTTGTTTCTAATAGTGCAGGATCAGTGGAGAAACTTGTAGTCTCTTAAACCCCTAATAATTGATTTATGATGTTGCTGTGATTATTAGGTTCCAATCAAGACACTTCCCATAGATGGTAATTGTCGGGTGGAGGACCGAGGCCTGAAGACTCATCATGGACATGTGAGTTGTTCTCTACCGTTGTTGTTTGCTTTCTGACAAGTATACATGGAGTAATAAATTTATTTGAGAGAACTTGATCGATTTAATGGAACATCAAGCTCTTTTTCTAGGATTAATTGTCAATTTGTCGTTGTTCATCTAGCATTTGCTTGTATGGACTTCTTATACAACAAACAACAACATACCCCAGTGTAATCCCACAAGTGGGGTCTAGGTAGGGTAATGTGTATGCAGCCTTACCCTTACCTTGAGGAGGTACAGAGGCTGGACTCCAATATGCATGAAAAATTAGGTATTAAGAAGATGTGAGCATGGGTTGTAATAATTTGATTTGTTTATTCATGATATCTGTCTTTGCGTTATATATTGAGGGGATAGTCCAGTTAAGAATGTATGACAAATGTTTTTGGTAAAAAGAAATCCCTTTCTTACTGTTTGATTTTTGCCTTAAATAACAAGAGCTGTGTTTGCTAGTCAAGCACAAACTATTGTTACTAAATCTAACAATGAAAAGTGGCACAATAGGCTTAAAATGTGTAATTCTAGTATTCTTTAAGCCATCAATGGTAGAATTGCATTGTTGTCTGACCTGGATGTGTAATGCTAGTATTGTTTGATCCATCAATGGTTAAATTGAGTTGTTGTATGACCTGGATGTCTCAAGTACTTAGTTGTAGTGTTACTTGTGATGGTCAAATTTAGAGTGATTTTTAGAGATGAAAATTCTTGGATTAAAAGGTGTTTATGATGGATAAGGGCCTAGAGATGCTTGAACCAGTGTGGGCCAAAAAAGATGAGAAACATGCTGCATTAGAGCTGGGAAATTGATGATAGTTTTCGAAAGGGAGGGGGAATTGACGGGGGAGATGTTGTAGGAGTCCCTCTCACATCCAATGCATCATACAAATAAAAAGCAACAGAAATCTTCTGATTAGAAAAAGTAGCTTAAATTGCCCGAACTTAAAACATTGAAATGTCACTCAGTTATAGATTCCATGACTTAATCCTACCCTATAAAGAATTCCACAAAGCCCACTCTCTTACATATCATTGAGTTGATTCAGATTACCGAAATAATAGGCATACTGAATTGTGAGATGGGGTATGCACCATCTTGCATTTACTTCATACTGTTAGGATTTTTTGAAGTTATTTCTCAAATTATGAAAGGTTAAAAATCATATTCTGGCTCCATCTTTGTGAGATAAATTGATCTTCACTGTCAACTTTAAGTTGTAGGGATTCACCCCTTCCTGTTTGGGTATTTCAGTATACCATAACTGAGGTGGTTTGTATGGGGGAAGTCTAGTTTATTCTTTAGATTATTAATCTGCCCCATGTGGAATTCTTTTAGTATTCCGTCATGTGTAATTCCATCGCTAAAGTGTCTAAATCCAATGTGTATTTTGCACTTCAAATTGTTAACCTACCTCAGAATATACATTTTTAGTATCAATTTTTCGCTTATTTAGCTAAAGGGTCCATTATATATGGCATAACAAAAAAAAAAAGCTTTTTGGGAAAAGAAGAAAAAAATGGGCATGGGCATCTATGGCCTAATTACAGAAGTAGTGAGCTTGATCAAATTTAGTGAAACATATTGATGGAATAAAGAAAATTGACACGATGTACATTTCAACCAAAATCTTAACTAGGTTCCCGAGTAAAAAAGAAGGGCTGTTACATCTTTACTTTAATGTTTATTTGTGCATTGTTAGCTTTATTATAAACATGAATCCATTTTCTTGAATTCTGAAGTATTTTTGCCGACAACAATTTATTGCAGTTGAATTCTGAAATTTTTAAAGATGTCCTACAATAACTTTTTGACGCGTGTTGTGATATATGCTTGATGAATAGACATACTTAACATTTCTGTTTGAGGATGTTAATCTTATGTATATCTTTCAGATGGTTTATGTCTTATCAGTTTACAACAAGAAAGACAAGTATAACCGTGTCACGGTGCGTGATCTTCTCTATCCACTCTGTTCTTGCTCCAAACAGTTTACTTCACCATCTCAAATGTGTATGCAAGTTTTCAAATGCGTATTTCATTCTTGTCGTATTACATCTCAAGTTGATCTCATTCTTGAATTGCTTTAGCCCCTCCTCATAGTTATTGTTGTTGTTGTTCTCCTGATAGTTATGTCATATCAGTCCAACCTTTGCTGATAAAACTAATGCAGATGGATACTGATGGAACTTTTCAGGACTATCTCACGTATATTGGGGATATTACATTTTCCCATTCAATTATGCATACAAAGTTCAATTTGC